GGCCGGCTGATGTAAGCGGATTTTGCCGAGTAACCGGAATTGGTGTCGATGACGAGTTGAATTTTTTGAGAAGCTAATAATGCCATGTAATTTAACTCGTTCAATCGACCGGCTGTAATGAACAAAAACAGTGCCGATTTTCGATTATTACTTGTGACCCGAGATGCAAAAAGACCATTTCGTGCAGAATAATCAGATCTGACATGTAGAGACCAGATACTATAAAAATTGTAAGTCCTTACACTAACAGGATGTACATATTAACATAAACTGAAATGCACAGCCTTCTCAACGGAAGTGAATACTTGGAAGGACATAGAAGATAAGTGTTGCTGACCGTACGGTCACCACAGTGACCAGTCAGTAAAGTATCGAGCCAAACGCTTTGCCGCCGCCGGTGTCAGCGGCCTCTTTGCCGGTCAGGTGAGGTCAGAGAGCGGGGTGGGACAGGCAGAGCACCACGGCACGTTGCTTTCTCGAAAGAAGTACGCTTTGACCCGAATTTTACGTTCAGATGTGGGATGAAGGCTGCCGTAACGAGTTGTCCTGATCGTGGCTATCACCCCAGAAATTCATCCATTCAAAGGATTCAGACCAAGTCTCTAAAGAAAATCACGTTCACCCCACATTAACGTAATACAGCTAGACACACACCAAAGCAATTCATAAAGCTGTTGTGATATGACTATGTGGAAAGCAGTGTGTGTGTGGTGTGTGTGGTGTGTGTGTGTGTGTGTGTGTGTGTGTGTGTGTGTGTGTGTATGTTGTGTGTGTGTGTGTGTGTGTGTGTTCCCAGTCGTGCAAGCGCAATGATGCTAAACGTGCGAAGGGCCCCCGGAACACTGAGATGGGTCTCCCGATTGGGACGCCAAATCTCGGTTTGACAATACACCAGTGTCGGGCTCCCAAAGTCATAACAAAGGAACCAACAGACTCTCTACGTGAGGCTACACCGTTTATACGGCATGACCTGGAACAAGTTCGCCCATGATGTATTCAGCTCTCGACAGTGACAATTGTGTTTCTCAAGCGTCTGGTGTCCCATTGCTCTCCGTCCTTCAATCGCTTTCTTTTTTTCCCTTGCTTTCTCTTTTTCCCGGAGCATCACGACATGTCTCTTACCCAGTCCTTCGCTACTGATAGTGCGGTTTGTAGCGCAGCCCTCGTGCTGCGGCTCATCCAGCACATCCTGTAGCGACTGGATGGCGTACGCCCGCTGCTTCGTCCGTTGCCATGATCAACCAGAAATAGATGCGTTGTGTCTGAAACCACACAAAGGCTGTGATGTACACAGACCCCACAGATCTCATTTAACTGCCTCGCGCGATCCACCCCTTGCAATTCATCCTGTGTCATGGCAATGTCATGTTCGACACCATGTAGGGCCTAAAATCAATGTTGGCTTTCTTAAATTCCTCATGCAAGACTTGCCTGTGCTGGCTCCTTCTGTCGGGCTCCGTGATGACTTGTTCAGCCCTGCCTCCTTTCTTGATTCGAGCGAACCATCACCCTGGGCCATTCTTCTTCCTTAGGTTTGTAGCATTTCGTCCATCAAGAAGCAACCACATATCCAGAAGGCCTACTTGCGTACTGCTCTGGAGAGCACAATGTCTCTATTCAGTGAATATGCTCAATACTTCATTGTTTGATGGCGTCATCGTACCTTACACAACATGGATTGGAAGTCAGTTGACTGCCATTATGTCTGGAAATCGTTCTCACAAACTCCAAATATGAACGACCTGACAATCATGTTTTTCTTGGCCTTGGTCGCCAATCACGAAGTCACGCCTCGCTCGTCGCACCACGACTGGTGGGATATGAGCGAGGCAATAGCATTTACTTGCTAGTTGTTACATAGATGGTGCCAAAAGCCACGCATGGTCTTTGAAATCATCATCACATCGTCATGGGCGCTGCATGACCGTTTGCAGCCAACGTGTCCAAAACTCCAAATCATTATCATTACACGGAAACGAAGCCAGACACCTTCGGTAAACGACATCTCCAACTCACACGTCCACCGTTCAGATGCCACATAGCGTGCATTCGTCGCGTGATATACGTTCCAAAGAAATGGCTGCACTGAGTTGTTATGCGAGCAAGGTCGCAGCTCCAGTGAATCTCACGTGAACTATATCTAAGGGAAATTACATTTGAGCGGCCCGACACATCCGCCACGCCTTCTAGACGCGAGGAACTTATCAACCGCTGATCACGCGGAATGTGCGCGTGAGCCCTGATCCCGCCATCCGACTGCGA